ACCGGTTGTATCTTCCCTCGTCTCCTTCCCCTAAAATGAAACGTCATTTATGGATCATTCCCTATGGGCAACCATTGGCCATTTAAAATCTTGCAAAGAATTTCATAATGGCGTATTCTATATTTTTCAGTAAGTCATAGGACGCAAACGACACTTGTAATCGAAATGACGTCTTAGATCAGGGGTCTCATTATGGACGAAACGAAACACTTTTTCATACAAGCGTTCTACAATAAATGCTTCGTTTTGACTTCCGCTATGAGACCCAGAGATGTTAATCGATGCATTAAAATCATTGCAGACGTTAAGTTTGACTATATCGACGATTATCGATTAACAACCCTATCTGAGATAAATACAGTTTTTCTTCTTTATATTACACACAGGTGAAAATTAAGTAGTTGTTCTATGATCATTGACACCTGCAAATTTCTATAAGCTCGAATTTTTCATCAGCATTTTAATGAAAAATATTAAAAAATTCTAGAAAAGATACTTTTTTTTATTGATAATGATGCTATGATTTATTTAAAAATATCGACTGCTGTACTTTGAATTTTTTTGAAAGATTCAAAATGACCGAAATTTAGCAAAAATGTCCAAAACAAACAACTGTGCAAAATTACAAACCAGTCGCAGGAGGTCTAGTCGGAAATTCAATATATTATTGCTATTTGGCTTGGAATAGCTAAAATACAATTTGACATAGTTGTTTACCGTTTAGGTCAATCGAAAATGAAATTATTGTTATTAAGATCGCTAGACTCTACACCGTTTAAAATCACACGGGCCGTGCAAAATTTGTGAACGATGATCAAATTAAACTACTTTTATTAGGATAATATTTCATTATGAATAACTGTACTTTGAACTCGTGCCGATCAGCATACTACACTAGCTCAATGATGCCATACCCCACGGCAGGTCAGGGCTCAAACGCAGTCAAGGTTGTTGAGGTTTTATGAGACGAAACATCTCTGCTCACGTCATTCTTCACAAGGAAAATAAAGCAGCTGCTTTCGTCCCATGTGCTGTTGTTTTGAAATAAATGGTCTAGGTGAAGTTGCCTTCTGAGCGTTGGTGCTTAGTTCAGGGGAACTAGGGGCAAGAAGTTCACGCTAACGATAGTGCGTTGTTAAATACGATTCCGTGAATATTTATAGGAGTTTGAGCACCGAATTGTAAGTTTATAACCTTGTCTCCATGTATTATCATTGAAATTAAAATTAAACCCCATAAAAAAATGATAATGATTTTTTTTAAATGTCATGTCATACCTGCTCTAAAACATGCTGCAGTGTAAGGGGCAAAAAAAGGTCTAAAATGAAGTAAAACTGCTAAATGTTCATTTATAAACAACAAATTACGATTCTTTAGTATGCCAGTAACTGCTTTTATTGTTTATTCCACAAACATATTGACTTAACAATATTTTTTTTTATCCAAAACATATAACCGTGTGCGTCAAAGAATTCAAATGGAAACTATGTTTTATCGAAGACAACATACCAAGAAGCCTGGCAACTTTGTCTGAATCCAAGCGACAGACACAGTAGCATTGCATTCGAGCGAAGGTGGAAGCAACGCATAGAAACACGAGCAAATACACAAACCTTTCTTCTGAGGATGGAACCTTTGCTATCCAATTTTATAGCAAATGACACGATTGTGCCAGTCTTCTTGATATGTTGTCTTCGGTTTTATACTATTTTATACAGTTTGTTTCCTAAATTTCACGAAAATAATATATATTGGAAAAATAAATGCCCCATTGTGCTAATTTCTTAACATTTATTGTTATTAATGTTTCAATCAACCATCAATAGTGACGTCTCAATGCAGAATTTGTGAAAAAAATAAATTGGAAATTTCGAAAACTTTATTCTTATAAAAAACAAAAACTAGCTTTTCAATACAAAATGATTTTTTGCATTTTTTTTTTACTACTTCGATTTGGACAGAAGTTTCTAGAATGCGTCATAGGTATACCATGCATTGATTGATGGTGACTTAGGATTGAAATGCTTTCATTTTCAAGATATATTGAGGGTGGCACTCTTGCCCCGGGTGACCTTCTTGCCCCTAGTGCCTCAATATGCTCACGGAGGATTTCCCAACTCTGACAAAAATCAAGTCGAATGCATTGAGATTTCTTTCAGTGTTTGATTGTGCTGCTGAAACACGCCACATATAAGGCATTTTTAATTTGACATTGATGGGTACGGTCAAGGATTCTCAATCAAAATATTATCCAGCTTTTCAAAGCCACCTGGTGACATCGCATGGTAACTTTGAACGATACACATATACATTCAAACGCTTGTATATGTGTGTATGTGTTTTGAACAGAAACGTGGTAGGGGCGAAGAAAACCGTTGGCCCAGGTGTCACTCTTAGAGGGGTGACACCCAAGAGAAAATTATTTACATCCGATAAATAGGCAGAACTTTATTTTAACAAAATTTGTAAATACAGTAACAGCTCCATACACCCAACAAACTTGCTAAAAGATGCTGGTAAAAAAAACTGAAGTCGTTAATAATTTCTAAGTATGTATGCCTTTACCGAACTGCTTTCAATATGCAATAGCATCAAATTTGAGAATAGATCCTGACCCAAAAAGATCTCACCGGCGTATCACAGAAAAACTTCACTTGAATCAAGCAGAACTGATTTAAAAAGTATCGGCGGTCAATCAGATTTTATTTCTTGCTTCAGCTTATTAATATGATATGATTGATCCCAAGCATGTTTCTCAAGGCCATCGTTCAAATCAATGTGGCTAACGCCGGAGATGTTTTTGAGAACGAATTATTTTTCTGTATTCAGGTTAAGCTTCAGAAATACGAACACCAATCGTTCAAAAAGAAAATTTCTCAATATATTTTTTTTATGTTTGCTGTTTTGATTTAATTTTATACCAACAGTGACACGTAATACACCAACTGTCGAATACTAATTAACAATATACTGAAATCAGGCACATTACCATGGGGCGCAAACCTGCTCCCTACATCAATATATATGAATCATAACAAATTACTAATATCCACTTTCCCACACTTTATTCCATGGCTTCAATGCTAAATGCATTCTTATCGTTCAATTATTCTTACTTTATGAAAGATTTTAATTTAGGCTAAGGTTTACTATAATCTTGGATGTGGCATATTAGTCGTATATTTGACCTCTCATTGGTCATTCAAATAAATAGTATACCCAGTGGCCTAGCGTGACTGTGTGTTATAGAAGGCTATTGGATAAAAACATAATCCTGCGAGCGGAATGGATGAGGTGTTTGTATTTTATCGTGTGTTAATTTACTTAAATCAGCATAATTTTTTTTTTTAAATAAAAACATCACATTTTTGCACTTATGGTTAAACTTGTTGAAAGTCTTTCCAAACTTAAAAATATCAGAGGCATTTTTTTATAGAATGGTTCCGATGTTTAAACGTTTTTAAATTGCTTCGTTGCTGGGGTGAGTTTTCTTAATCAGTTCATCCTTATGATTAGGCATAATGATAAGGCCTGGGAAAATTGTGAAGAACTTCCGGAAAAAATCTAAGAAACTTCGACAGGAAGTCACAATAAACTCCCGAGGTTTTTTGCGGTTGAAGCTATATCAAACCTCCAGCCAAATTGAAGTATCCTTTTTGTCAGAAGTAACTTCGCTATTTTCATTATTTATGTATAGTTGAACTTTATAATAAATTTTAAATTTTAAACACATTATTCTCTTGGGAGACACCTGGGGCGGTCAACTCCTCCCACCCCCACCAGGCAACGCCCCTTAATATACCTAGCAACTGTTATGTCATTAGGAGCCCCTGGTGAATAGTTATGGGGTTATGGGCTAATATTGTATTACTTAAATATGTTGTATAATGACAACAAGTATGGACATTTCGAGCACAAAAGAAACTCATTTTTTTCTAAATTGTATCCAAACTTTGAATATATTTTTTTTTGTATTGGGTTTGAGCTAAGTAGATTTACAAATATATGAAAAAAAAGGTTTTTAAAAATTGCATAACAAATGTTAAAAGCAATTGATTCTTTTATAATTAATAATTCCTTTCAATAATTCATAATTCATACATATATATTCAAGTGTGAAAGAAGTACTCTATTTATATTCAAGTATGATAGTGGTGGCGGGGGGGGGGGGGGGCACCCCTCACCATCCCTCTCCAAAGGGGGAGTTTGGTAAAGAGAGATGAAAAAACCGATTTGTACCTTCCTTAAAAGTTGTCCTAGTTCGCTATTCTAATATCTATATACAATCTTCACACTGCCGTACTCTAACGGAACTATCAACTCTATGCTTTCATCTACTCCATCTATCGTATAAAAATTACCACTACAGTCTGTTATTTGAAATTAGCATCTTCAACTATGTAAAATCGTTTACTTCACGTAGAAGTAATACTAAAAAACATATAGTCAAAGTATGATAGAAGTACTTTAATTTTGAATTGTTAATCTTCTAGTTTTTACTATGCATACCATACCATTTCTGGGTTTCGAAATATTTCGCACAATGGAAATGAAAGCTATCATGAGACGAGCATTTCAGTATGTGTTCAGGAAGGCATAGATAGCAGTGATGTCTTATTTTATTGTTTCATCTAATACCGAGATGCACATGGTTGAACAAATCATATTTACAAATTTTGATTCATCGAAATCTAAAAACTAGGTCATCCTCAACATTGATCCAACAACTTCGAGCTGTCTCATCATACGCAGTCATTCGAAACAACCGAAAACCACCCAGTCAACAGTATAATTTTATAATTGTAGTCGTCTGCGTGAAACCAAGGTAATCAAGATTTTTGGGTGATGCGCTGAGTCAAGGATGCTTTCAACGTTTGAGAAAAGGTATGAGGTAACTTATTCAGAAATATTGTGTAAACAAATTTGTGGATCTCTCTCTCTGTGACGGCTTATAGAAATGGTTAATTGAAGGTCATGAGATAAAGAAGAAAATCGCTTACTTTTCACTGCCCAAACTTTTCCTGCTTGTAATCCTCTCATATAGTCTTCCATTTCCAACGAGCAGTTGTTTGTCAACCGTTTGCTGATATCGCTCCAATTATCTCCGACATTTCGAATATCAAACACATGTAAAATTTCATCCAGGATTATAAGATTTTTAAATGACGGTTCACTGTTTTCTGTACTTTTAACAACTGAGCTCTCTGACTGAGCGTTGATTTTATCCGCATATATTAAAAATAGAAACAGCGTGTAAACTTTTAAATTCTTCATTTTAGAATGGATCACGTTTCACTCTCTTCTTTATCACAAATGCACTAATATTTGACTATTTCAATCTTGACTGCTGGTTACTGTTTTATTTTATGATCATCTGCAAGGATCGCTGCATCTTAGTCAATAAACATCGACGAACAAACGTGTTGAAGTACAAGTTTGCAACTGCTCGCGCGCGCACTCTTTCGATTGGACCCGTTTGCGGGTAACGCCGGTGACTTAACTAAGAGACAGACGAAAGCGAACTGAACGGGCGTCGAGGCGGCAACCCCACAATACTCCATTCTCAGCATTTCACGTGTTTGCTTACCTTATTACAGCATACACAACAGTTTCATAAAAAACGTCTGACGAAAAAGCTTCACGGAGCTAAGAGCTACCTACATTGTGGTTTGTGCTGTATGAAAGTATAAGTTAAATAATTTTCAAATTTTACAGTGAAACTTTCTTTTCCCTTATTTGCTGTGTTTGGTTGTATGTGGTCACTTGCTGCAGCGATGTTATACAATAATCCAAGGCAACTAGACATACATCCACATTGACACAAATATCAAACAGCTGGGCTTCAATCTATTTATTATTATATGTGGTAATAACTATGTGATTTTACGGACTTTTTACTTGGTTTTGCTGGCTGTTACTATTACCGAGACGAAGCCAATCGAAAGTGATGTCACAGCACAGTGAGAGGAAAACAGTACTATACATTATTGCATGTCTGTCCCATGTGGAAAAGATCACTCTACAAGTCGAAGTAACTTTGCAAACTAGTCGTTAGCATTTAGCTTAATTCAATTCAACAAGTTGAAGTGGTACAATATTTAGCATGAGAATTACAGCTTGGGCTAGAAAAGGGATCTTAATGCTGAATCTCCCGATTATCAAAATTCTTAATTTATTTAATTTTCATCAGCACCGGTTAGCGGAAATTTGATTTTACCAATCACTTTTACGACAATCTGCAGCCATGGGCATAGTCAGGGGGGGCTAGGGGAGAAGCTTCACTACTAGATTCTGTAAATTGAATCATGGACATTTCTGTTAGCTAAAGAAGCTTGAGCAAAAGTTCGTGATTATTATTTTTACCCTTCTTACAAAGAAGGGTATAGATATCACTTGAAAAACCGACTATCGATCCGAGGCCCGGAGGGCCGAGTGTCATATACCATTCGACTCAGCTTGACGAGATCGGAACATGTCTGTGTGTGTGTGTGTATGTGTGTATGTGTGTATGTGTGTGTGTATGTAACGAAATGAATGCGCTCACGTTTCTCAGCAACCGCTCAACCGATTTGGACAAACTCGGCGCCAAATGATAGGTCTTGGGGTCTCATTGAACGCTATTGAACGGTTTTGGAATCGGTGAACTGGTTCCGGAGATAAGGCCAGAATAAGATCCGGTGAATATGGGCCTTCACGCTGGATTTAACGGAAAACGTATTAAAACCATCATGCGACATATCAAATTACTACAGAATTCAAAAATAACATCAATGCAAGTCGTGTTAAGTGTTCCAGACCACATTGGACACACTTGGACATGTTCCGGGTACCCCGGGGAAGTTGCTTGAATATGAATTGAATTAAAACCCATTAAATCACATTAAAATACGATGATAAGGTGATTGGTAGCCTCACCAAATAGACTACACCCGGGTACCCCCAGGCAGTGGCATAGCGTCACTGGATGACACGGGGGTGGGGGGCTTGGTCACTGATAATGACAATAAAATAAATAAACTTGAATAAGTAAGAAGGGTCTGATCACACCATAGGTGGATAAATTCGGGTTTTTAATTATGAGCTCTACACAACCACTTAATGTTTCACGTAGTTCGAAAAGATAGAGTTAATTTCTATAAATTTGATGCAAATAAATGGGGTGTCACTATATCATACATATTTACATTGATGATCGTGTAATCTTACGAGACATTTCTTGAAATATTTAATTAATTGTATGAAATCGTCCATCTTTGTAAGACTATGTTTTAGCAAGTACCTAGTTTGATTGTTCAGAAATAATAGTTTGTTTATGTTTATTTGATTAATTTTTCAATTTAGGGTCACTAAATGGAATTTTGGAGAAAAAAAGAGAACGATTATTGATCTTAGAAATTAGTAAATATATCGTAGGTGTAGTACGTAATTACTTACAAAAGCAAAATTTTTTCGTGTGCTTACGCTCCTTTTGGATTTTGGCGATTTTATTTAAACTAGGAGATATAACTTCTTAGCAATTCATAAAGAAAATTAATCATGAAACAGGATATGGGCTCATGGGATCGTCATTGTATTGATTGATTACGTAACGCATGAGGGGGTAGCTTGGCTTTGTGTTACACCCCATGTATTAGAAATACGAACGGCGAATTCAAAAATCACATTTTTCATGTTACATGATGAATGAATGGGCCCTTATTAATATTTAGAAATCTAAGGTTACGGGTCCAAGTTACAAATATGAGCCTCTAATCAGCACAAACCCATTTAAATACATTTTTTTTCCTTTATTTAACGTCGGTCTCGCAATCTAGTCCCAATCACCGACGGACATCGATTGCCATCCATTGACGGCAACCAAATGTGCAGGAAGGCAGCTTCCACACCTGCGTAGGATATCGCACTCATTCACAACACACATGGGCCGGGACCAACGGCTTTATTTCCCTTCTGAAGGAAGACGTGACCAGAGATTTGTATGCCTTAGAAAAATCTCACCGCCCTCGGCTGGGATTGAACCCAGACCCATTGGGGTGTTAGAAAGCAGTCACGCTTACCACTACACCACCGGCGCCGGCTTTTTAAATACATATGGCATGGCTAAAAAGTTGGTATATATATTCTATCTCAAACTGCAACGACGACTCCTCAAACATATGTTTACTGACTCTAAATTTTGACTTTTATGAGTATATTATTATGAAAAATGTTTGAATATTTTCAATGATCAATTTCAAGGCTAAAGATTAAATTTTTTAAACCAATATTATCTATGTCGGTTAGAACATGCAGATGATTTCGATGAGTATCTGTTCGGAATAAGCGAAGAAGAGCTTACCAGGCTATGCCTATGAATATTCCATAATTGGTACACACCATAATATGAACGTATAGCTATAAGTGGTACACCTACCATAGTTCATAATAGAATGCCAAAATTTGGAATTTTCATACTTTTTAATTCACGGAGCTCCCTTAGATAAACAAATCTTTGGCAGCATACTGAATTTAGAAGACAAAAGGTATTAATAAATCAGGCCGAAAGCCATTAGGTTTAATGAGGGAATCCATCGAACAGGGATCAGATTCAACCTCCGCACCTCAGAGCCTTGAAGCAAATATAAAGTTGTCTCTGCAAAATGTGAGTCACTTGTGTGGTTTGACGAAAATCTCGGTCTAAGCAAACTGATTCCTCGACACTGTAAAACTGAAATCTCAGCTAAAAATCTCAACAATCTCATATAAATTCTACCGAGATTTCAGAAAATCTTAATATATTTAAACAAATTCGAAAATTAAAATTTCACATCTCAAACAACCACCATTTATTTCTCTTTTCTTGCTTATTAAACATCAAAAATAAATATAAATCTACAAATTAAGCTGGCCATAGTAATTGGCCACAACTTTTTCATGGGAGAAAAAGCAACGAAATATTCAAAATATGTATTTAAATTATACTTAAGGAAGATTTCGCACAGTATTACTAAACAAGCGATGCTAAAACGAAACTACGACATAACGCATTACCGAAAAGCTGAGATTTCAGTTCACAGTGGTGCTGAATATCGGCTTATTAATTTGTTTTATTTATTTGTTTCATATTTTTTACGTTAATGGATATTAAAAAAAAATACACGAATATCGGACGATTATTACAACTTCTCCAATTTAACGAAATAATTATGTAATATAACTAATTTATAGCAACTGTTCAGGCAGGGTCTGACAAACACGGTTAGAGAACTACGGGTTGTGCCGATGGCACTGGTTCGGAGAGGAATGCGCATTGGAGAATTCCATAGAGTCATTTGGGGTTTCGATCTCGTAAAAGTGGTTCCAGGGTATCGACAGTATACACACTTAGAAATACATATTTTTACACGTGACGGAATCTCTCTTTGACATAAAGGATGAGACTTAAACAAACATGTCATGTAAAATTAAGGGCTCCGAGACTGAAAAGTTCGTTACTCGACGAAAGGTACGTTTGATTGAGCTTTTATTATGACTCAATTTTATGTCAAAATTAACGCTCGTATATGTCAGTCTCAGAGAACCTAAATTTACCTGATTTTTTTCTAAGTGTGTAGCGTTCTCCAGAGCATGCGGATCAAAATTCACATAGTTACGACGAAGGGTCGTGAGATGTCGAAATCTACTGACGCAAAGATAAGATCATGGTGTGACAACCCAGGAAAACTGACCTGGCCAAACCGCATAACCTTCTCGTTGGTTAGGAAAAGATCAAATTGTGAGTATTCACCACCATGGAAATATGTTGGTTCTTCACTAACGGACGTCAATGAGTAACTACGGAGCATCGATTCGAATTGCGTGTGCGTGCAATTAGGACGGAGCATGTCAGTATTGAAATCCTACATCAGAAAAATGTTTTCATAGCGAACAGATTAGCAGTCGTTATCTGTCCACACGAAACTCCAACGCCAAGCATTAGGTTTTATTCGTTGAGCATCGTGCCGAAAACCTTGAAGGAGGTCAAATGTTCCCTGTAGTAAACAGCGATGCCGCAACCGGGCCTATACGCCCTGTCATTTCTTACAACGGAATAACTGGAGATGCCGATGCTGTTCTTTGAAGTTAGTCATGATTCGATGAAACACGCTATCTCAACCACGGAGCCCGAAAAGACGTTTTGAACATCATCAAGCTTGCTAGAATTGCGGGCGCAAAGGCTCTGGGTTATTGTTGAGGAAGCATTAAGTATGGTATGGAAAGTAATTCCTAGAGGGCTGCATTATTACCATAGATTAACTTTAAGACCAGGGGGTTCCGAAGAAATATGCTCAATTTTTTGGCTCAGGACCTACCAAGCTAATTGAAACACGTAGGAAAATCCACGAACCCCACATTAAACATTGTCAAATTTATAAGGCGAATCAAAACAAACACAAATTCTAGTATGAGAATGGGGTTCGCTTATAGCTGTATGTGAGAGTAGAGTGCATATATAAGTAAAATTGAAGTAGCTGATTAACTGTCAATTGCTTGGAAAAATATAATTTCAATCGAGTAGAAGACCTGTCAAATGGCTGACGTCACTCTACTTATAAGCACTATACTTGGCACTAAGTGATAAGCCAATCGTTAGTTTAGTATTGATTATTACGGAGGAGCATAAACAAAATATCTCTGTTATACGATCTTGCATAACAAAATACAAAAACTGAAACTTTACTACATATACATAACTTCAAACGAATAACATGGTTACGAATATTTATCCAGCTCATCCTCGGACGATTGTTGTTCCGCTAGCTGAAGGGGCCCATGCATTAATTATGTCACGCTAAATTGAGCAAAAAATTACCCCCTCCCCCCTATCGTGACGTTTTTCCTATACCTAATGCATTGCTTGTCACACAATCTTAGAACCCCCCTTCCCCCTTAGAGCGTGACATAATATATGCATCAAACCAAGGCTTCACATGGACGACTCCTTGCTTGGTGTTTGCGCACTTTGAAGGTCAGGCTTTCATTGATGCATACACGTCGATCAGAATCCAATCCTATGTATTTCAGCTTAATGTTTTGCTTAAGCAAATACGCACTTTAGTAACTGTAGTAACTCGTTCATTGTTTCCTTAAGTGTAAACTCGATAACGATAAGTGACGGCACTGTCCGAGTTGCTGAAGGATTTCATGCACCTGGTTTCTCCACCATCGGGATGGTCGTCTTCTTCACTGCTAGGTGCTATCCAATTGTCTTGAGCGTCGAGTTCAGGGTTTCGCCTGTTTTGAAAGGGATGCCGCTCGTTCCGGATTTGAAGGGCCCTGATTTTCTGAGACACACTGCCTGCCGTTTTATTCATCGACTTCAAGGCAGCGTCATGGTGCTGAAATGTTGCTGAACATTCAGCTTTGACCGGTTTTATGTCGCTCTTCAGTTCCGTTTTAACGAAAGCAATTTTGTTACTGACATCTTGGATCTCGATCTGCACAGTGTGAATTAGCTGCCTGGTTACCAACAACTGCTGCATCATCGTACTTTCTCCTTTGCTTTGTTTTCCGTCGATCTTGTTTTCTGTGCTGAGCACTAATGCTACCGACGCCAGGGAGGCAGCTCCCACACCTGGACCCTACCCATCGACCCATCAACTCATGAACTGGGGACCAACGGCTTTACTTCCCGCGCGATCAGAGATGTTATGTCTCAGAACATCCCGGCGACGCCGACTGGGATTGAACCCAGGCCTGCTGAGGTGAGAGGTAATCACGCTTACCACTACACCACCGGCGCCGCTTAATCATTTGCTCTGAAAACATATCAAGTAGAAGAGTTTTCCAAAGTGTGGTGAAAATTTGTGCCCAAAATATTAAAAAATAAAAAATCCCGCCCATGGTGAAAATAGGCTATTTTTTGACAATTTGGATACCTGCTGGTAATCAGCCTGTTTACTGTAGTTACTAAAACAAAAACAAAATGTAGGTACACCTTTAAGAATCTACATTAAAAAACTTTGTGGAGAAATCTATTCTGAAATTTATAATTTAAATAAAAAAAAATCTCAAAAATCCAGGGTTTTAGCGCAGATGGATTTAGGCGCTTTAGAGCAAAATCAATAAAGGCGTACGGCGAACCCGAATTTTGAATTTTGTCATTAGGTGACCATTCCCGAGGGGGACGACTCTATCTACGATGCAGAAAAGATTGTGTTTTGCTGTGGCTAGCTGCACGCACGGTGAGTAGATAGAAGGAAGATTTATGTCGATTTTGAAGATTTCCTGCAATAAGATGAAGCACGATGCAAGTAGATGCGAGAAATGAAAGATGATTTTTCGAAGATTGATTCGCTAGTGTGAGATTTTTTGAGCATCTAGAATTGAGATTTAAATGTGTCGCCCCCCTCGACCATTTCTATGTTATACCCTGGACAGACTATGGCTTATATCATGTAATATAGGCTGTCTTGCAATGGGCACTTATACATAGGATTTCCAGTGAAAACTAGATGTATGAGTGCTCATTGCAAGACAGCTTATATTACATGATATAAGCCATAGTCTGTCCAGGGTATTAGGGTGGCTTAAAAATCGTTTTTTTTTAAATGACTTTTATTCAATTCATAATTTTAGAACCACTGGCCAATTTCAAAAAAAGGTAATTAAAAGTATTTTTTGGGAAAAATAAAATGATATTAAAAATTGAGATTTTGCTTCGAAAAACATTGAATGTTTTTTTTATGGTTTTCGTGGTCGCAATTTTTTTTTATATATTTCCTTGAACATTAAGGATTTTTTACACATTATATCACAAAATCAGCGATGTGTTTTTTTTCATTTTTGAGTTATATTTTTTTGAAGTTATCGAGTTTTGGGTTTTCGCTTAATACTCCTATGCGACTTGACTACCATGCGTCGTGACCATGTACAGGTAAATCGATGGAATTATGAGTTTTTGAAAAACATTGATTTTTTGGACCACACTAACATGGAAATGGTCACCCTAATGATAAAATAAATAATGTTGGGATCAGGAATAAAACTACAATTTTTTTTACTTTTTTTTTACAAGACTTAGAAACACTATATCGTTTTGCTCTGGAATGGTTGTATTACTAAAAAATGAATACAGATGTTGGGGAAATCAACAAACTTATAGACTGTAACTATAATAAGTTTGATGGCTTTATGAGACCATATAATCTTCAGCTCTGCAACATTTGCTAGCATTTGCGGTTTGCTCAACAAGCTACATTTCCTCAATCGGAAGGGGAATATATTCTACGAAGGGAACAAAAAGATGAGTTTCTTATGCAAAAGGAAGGGGTGCCGAATGAATTCCTGCTCCAAGGAGATGGTCCGGAACCAGCCAGAAAAGTCCAAACGAAAACAGGACGAAGATCATATAAGATCATAGGTGCTATAGCTGTAGCACCTGAGAGCAGTACACTGGTGGTAGTGGCAAGAACAACAATAATGAAGTGACAGAGGAAGAAATAGAGGTGCTTGATGAAGAATTAGTAGAAGTGTCTGAAGCCGCACTTCTGATGTCAATCCTTCATTTGATAGGCATTTATTGTTTTAGTAAAAAAAATGGTGCTTTGCATACTTTGTAAGTGTATGTTTCAGATTTTCCGAAACGTGAAATTTAAAGCGAACAGTAGCATACTGCTATCCTGGAAGCTATCGGAAGTCTGCCATCACATAACGGTAGGATAGGTTCGAAATTTCGTTGTAGATTCGCAAAATTACACGCATGAAACAATCTAAATGCAGGGAGGAACCGTTGCAATCGGTTGGAGTTTTAGCCGGTAATATTTTGCTGGACTCATTGATACGTTGTTTTTGGTAAAAAAAAAGATACAATTTGAGGACAGTATTCTTAATACCAAAGATCAGACAGCTCGGAATTGGGAAAAATAAATAACGGCTAAAACTCCATCCGCAAATACCGGTGCTTCCCAGTATCAATAGTACACTCTGAAAAAGTTTTGAGCCAATATTAACATTTTTGAGTTCCCTAAAGTTGCCCTAAATATCTAGAAGATTGATAAAATATAGCACATTACACATTCGAATACTAATGGAATACAATGTCAATCTCATAATTACACTAAGTAGCGCCTCCATATATGGGTAGTACCATCCACCCAAAGCTGTTTCTCGGTTGTCCCTCAACCAATTGAGCTGATTTTCTGTACACAACACTAGTTTATGGTTGACACTATAATCACAAACAAAAAATTTGCGTACTTGGTTGAAGGACAGCTGAGAAAAGCGGTGGTGGGATGGCACCACCCATCGCATATATGAGGGCGCTGGGGTTATTGTACACCATATTTGGAGGCGCTGAGGTTGTGCGAAACCGAACTTTTTGTCAGTGTGAACCTCAACCTGAGATAGGTTTTAAAATCAAACGATCAAACTGACGTTTGTCAGAAAACAAACAGACCCGATCCAGGTTGGAACTGAATAATAAACGAATTCGCATAAGTTTTAAGACGCGATTAAAAGATTCCATGGAATAATTTTCTCAATAAATAAACTGTTTACAGTAGTAGTAGTTTGTTAGTGCGATTATTAACGTTTATTGTGAATAATAATTTGTTAATTTTTTGCTATACGTGTCCTAAGGTAAATCTAATCTCTGAATAAAAAATCGTTTTCGTCATGTTTATTTTTATGAATTCGGCATAACTTTAGCAAGTTGCGTAATAAAATAAACCCACCACCCATTTGAATCGGTATGTAGAATTCACCTCAACTGTCGATGTATTTTTCAGAATGATTTTTGTTTTTCGTTTATTATAATTATGAGAGAGTAGTCAGCAATGAGACATACTTTTTCCGGTGATTTAAACTGAAGGAAAATGGTAATTCGATATTTATATTTCTGCAGTTTAGTTTATTTGGAATTGTTGAATTTAGATGTAGGCGTACAGATACTGTAGTTTAGAGGAAAATATCACAAATTATTGCTAAATTTTGGCTATATGCACGTAATTAAACGGCGTGCTAATGGAGGGAACGGGTCTATTTGTATTAAACATAATACCGCCATAATAAGCAATTTGTGGACACCATCTTATACTATACTCTGCACGTCATACACATCATTGAGAAAAGAGTCATTTGCGGACGAGACTCCCATAATTTTCAACAATTTGAGAAACAATCTCTTACATACCTACCAAAGATAGCCAAGTGAGTTAAGAAATTAGAACATTGAAGTACTTTGTGCATCTAGTTACACAGTTTCAGCGAAAATTGTACGATGAACTATGTTCTCTTAGTACGGGTTGGATATTAAGATAAAACGTTCAATATTTCGGTTAGTAACAAATTTCGTTAAAACTTATTCAAAGCATACTGCTATTGGCACATTTCGATAACCTTGTCGCAATTCTGGTTTGTTTCCGGTAAAAATATCACCATTCATCATTTCGATCATTATCCCTTCTATAATTAGTTTTTCTGGTTTCAATGTATTGCATCTGGCTTTCTCGGATGATATGATGATTATCTCCAATGCGATCAGTGTTGGACTGCACCTACAAAATTAAATATAAAATATTTAAAAAATTGAATCTATTACAAATGAAAAGCAGCTAAAATGCTAAATTACTATGATAAATATTTAATTGGAAGCAATGAAACTTTTTATCATGCTAAGCATGGCTGCATTCACTCACTTCTCTATAATAAAAAAATGTTTTTTAGAATTATTAAATCGTTATATGTTATAATGATATTTTGATCATGTAAATTTCAAGAAGAGATTCTAAAGTACACTAGACGTTCGCTAGCTGAATGAAAATGCAAAAAAAAAAATCAAATTTTTTAGTTATATTTATTAAATGCTATGCTGATGATGGTACCACCTCTTACCCCTACAAAGATTTGAGCTGGACGATTTATCTTTAAGATAATTAAATATGACATTTTGACCAGGTTAGCAAATAAAATCGAACTGGTTACAGTTACAGATATAAATTCCCTCTAGAGTTTACAGTTGCTTCACAGCGATATAAATGTGGAAAAGCTCAGGCGTCCCCCTCTTAGTTCGCCTTTTTGTCCACCTAAAATATTCATAAGTATTACAAGCAATCAAGAGTTAATGAACAATCAACAAAGCATCCTATTACACTAGCAACCCCGCAATCTGATGCTATCATAATTTTCAGCAATGTCAGGAATGCTCACGAGCCCCCAAAATTTGCAAAAAAAAAACTTACTACTAACTCATGGTATCTTCCAAATAAGCTTCAAAATTGCATTTTTTTAATCAAATTTTAAATTCAGACCTCTATATCCGTATTACGCTTGAGCCTCGCGCGCGTAATACGGATATAGCGGACTGAATTTAAAATTTGATTAAAAAAAAATGCTATTTTGAAGCTTATTTGGAAGATACCATGAGTTAGTAGTAAGTTACCTTTGTTGACTATTTTTTTTAAATCTGCTGCTATTAAATCAAATATTAAAAATCCATCATCACCATCGTGGCGAACAAAATATGTTTTTCGTGTTACAATAATTATTAAATGTCATTTTGACAGCTATGCATGTAAAATAATCCGTTCAAAACTTCGTCAATATACATAAATTGTCAATTCATAAAAAAAATAGATAACTGTTCAAAATACAGCTTTAACGTGTGAAATGCAATGTCTCTTAAACTCTGGAAGTGTAGTTGCACGTTTGGGTATCGAATTGAAAACATTTATTCCTTTCAAATGGGGGAAATGTATATAATGTCGGCTTAAGTGTCCCTAATTTGGGCCCATACATTAATTCAGCAATCGACTAAATTTTGAATAGCAACCAAAAATATCAATTACTACCGTCCCAATGACGCGTTCATCTAGATACAATTGATAAATAGCAGATTTTTAGCGATGGGCCCAATCTTAGATCCATAGGCCAACATTAGAGCCATTTCCCCTATAATAAATTTTGTGAAGCACAAGTCAAGAAATGTGGTGTTCTTATTTCAACCGCGATTCTAGTATTATATCTATGAAAGTCACTTCCCCTTTCAATTCGATCACACAACTACCGAGACAGCAAACCGCTAACTACTTTAAAAATGAACACCATAGTCAAATATACAATTCTTTGCTTTACCGATAACCATTTTAAAGCGTCTAGCATCAAAGTTGAAGAAGTGAATCTTACATCTCAAAATCAAACGCTTTATTTTATTCTACAAGCGCTGTAATCTCGATATTTGTGTTGCATTGGCCCAACATAAAATGGAAGGACAAAAGTCTAGATGAGGAGAGATGATTGATTTGCATAGCTGTATTTTACTGGCAATAGTTGAATCGTTTTTCAGTCGATAAAGAATTTTCTTTTTCAGTCGACAAGGTAATTTTCTTGACGACATTGTCAATGTGAGAGTTGAACTTAAGGTTTTCATCAATAACCATGCCAAGATATTTAATCTCCCGAACGTGATCAATAGCCTCATCATCAATTACAACGGAGACGTTCTCATTTACTCGATTCCGTGAAATTACCATGAATTTAGTTTTACTTATATTCAATCTCAATTACTTATACATTAACCATCTACTTAGAGAATGCAAATCTTTATTCAAGTGTGAAACGGCATCATCTAAATCCTTAGCTGTAATTATCTGCAAAAAGATTAATATCGCAATATCGTTAAACACGTCGCAAATCATTAATATACATAATAAATAAATGAGAGGCCTATGATGCTATATGCTATGAACTTATTTGTACATAGCACTTAATAATCACTAACTTCGTTACGTTACGTTATATAATATATTATTCAATTTATTGCATTATTTCAAAATTCAATAGAAGCTTTTTTTTAAACTTTCTATAATAAAGGCTAGTTCATCTTTTATTCCAATAGAAGCTTGCATCATTAGTTATAAGCGCGAAATGCTCTTGAAGTCAAAATATATATGTACTCTCTTTCTTAGTAACTATTTTAGAAACACAAACTTTTATACTCAATTAATGACATACGGTGCTTTCCCGTTTTCACAACAAGTGTTTTTGGTTTCTTTACTTTCTATAAATTTTATCGAACAATAATTTCAGTTTATGACACTACTAGAGCATTTTTAAGGGATTAGAGAAGGCTGGTAATGTATTAACAGCTCAAAGAAGTTACTTCAAATTCAAATCCCTATTTACAGATTTGTCATGGATTTTGTAGAGCTTGATTTTTTTTTCCTTTGGTTTGTTTTTTCCGTCGATCTTGTTTTCCGTGCTGAGCACCAATGCTACCGACGTGCCAGGAAGGCAGCTCCCACACCTGGACCCTACCTATCGACCCATCAACTCATGAACCGGGGACCAACGGCTTTAATTCCCATCCGAAGGAAGGCGTGATCAGAGATGTTATGCCTCAAAACATCCCGGCGGCGCCGACTGGGAATGAACCCAGGCCTGCTGGGGTGAGAGGTAATCACGCTTACCACTACACCACCGGCGCCGTTTTGTAGAGCTTGATGAAGTTCTTGAAATGTTTCTGGTGTTATTATATCTTCTTTGAAGTTATATCTGATTTTGGAAAAAAAAAATCCTGAATTTCACAGATGTATCTTAAAGTTCCCCGTATTTTTCTGATGTTAATTATATTTTCGCTGCGGTTCGCAGATCGTTCTTAAAGTTTTTAGAACTTTCCTGGCGCTTGAAGATTTTTTGTATAACTAACCTGGGGCTTGTAGAGCTACATTGCAGTTCATATAAATTTGCTAGATTTCACACAACTCTCTTGAAGTTTATTAAAAATACCAGGAGAACTAGCTGTCATGTAATTGGTAATTGCCCGATAACAAAATCTAAGCAATTTTTCCGCCCCTCAAAATTGTTTTTTATGGCAGCTGCCTCCTTTGTCACTTGCTGAGTACGATGCTGCTTCCCCTATATCTACGCAAATAGAACCACAGTTTTTTTTTCAAACTTGAGTTAGGCCCTAGGATATAAAACTACGAAATATTTAAATTTCTTAATTTTTAAATACTCTCTGAGGTGAACCTTAGAGAGTTTATATAGGTCAATCATGCTCATGCTCAAACTTGAGTTAGGCCCTAGGACCATAAACCGAAGTACTAGTGCCATAACTGGCACACTAATTATATGTGGAGGGGAAGCTTTTAAAATAAGTAAAAATAATATTACTGATGTTTTAAATCCCGGTTATATTTACAAGAAAAGTAAATCATAATAGAACTACCAGCATAAAAAATTTAATAAAATTATTGAAGTTGTAGGCGTTAAATTAAGATAAAACAAGGAACACTTAAATGAAGAAAACATAAATTTTCATTTCCTGGTTCTCAAAAATGTTGACGTGAATTATAAATCTCGTAATAATATATAAATAAATCAACTGTAAATCAATTGGTGGCGAAATGTTCATAAACACTTAACTCACCCTAATGGTCATATTCAGAGTAACGGTCATATTCAGAGCCTACAGATTAGCTTAGGGACTGTAGCTAATGCTATGTTCACCCTACAGAGTTATAACATGTTGTAAGATGACATATTTCTTGTTGATAGTTATTATAACATGTTATAACTCTGTAGTCTGAACAATGCATAAAGGAATATAAGCTTTGAGAGAATTCTGATGTGCAAGATTCCATAATAAATTATTAATTAGGTCAGGCGCATGTTTACCATCAAATTTCCTTCACGGCGTGCTAGTTGAGGGCTAACCTCTGGTGTAGATGAATTTATTTCTTCAGGAGCAATCCATCGTTCGGTGAACTCGCTAGCGGATCTAGCTAGGCTTGGATGGCTCGATGAACGCTGAATTGAACGGTGGTCGTATTGATCATCTTCGTAGTACTGATGTGCTGAATACGAGCTTCCGTCGGAATAACTATCGGGGTATTTTGGCTTGGCAAAATCAATCGTCATTTCTGTCATTGAGCGATAATCTACGTTATTGGAACTGTACGAAGATCGAGAGGTTTTCCTTGAGCGAGGTCTGGAACTGTCATAGCTATCTCTGTGTTGAGTAGTAACTACAATTGGGTCTTGTGTAATAGTTCGAACCGATGATCCTCCATCACTGTCATATTCATATAAGGTAGGCAGTGAGCTTCTGCGAGAGCGAGTGTCCCATGTTTCTCGCTTCTTACGTTTCGATCGTCTCAATTCAACGTCATCAGGAGGAGTCAGTATACGCATGATAATTTCCCAGGATTGCGGTTCAAATAGTTTTTCGTAGCGGGCGTCTGTTCGAATTCGTTCGAAATCTTCTCTCACAACGGCTTCCGTAAGCATTGTTCTGAAAAAAAAGAAAGAATGAGATTATCATCGGTCATCCACAATCCGCATATTTTGAAAATTTTATGTTCAAATTACAGAAATAATTACATTATCTTTACAGTTAACTGACATCAAAGAAGAGGCGTAGTGAGGGATTATTGCGCCCTTGGCAATCTTTTAAAATGACGACCCTTTCCCTATTGAAAAAAAAAGTGCAAAGTTTTTACGGCGCTGATAAGTGCATTCTCATACCAGTGGGTCTGGATTCAATCCCAGCCGATGTTGTTGAGATATTTTGAGACATTAATCTCTGGTCGCATCTTTTTGGAAGGGAAGTAAAGCCTTTGCTTCGGCAAACATATTTTTGAACATAAATACCAACAAATGATCCATAAAATATTGGAAAACGTTCCATAAAAAACATCAAAATGATCAATAAAACTTCGGAGAAAATCCTTAAAAAAGTGTGAATGATCCATAAAAAATATCAATATGATCCTATTTAATGTAAAATTTAGCAACACAATTGTAAAAATGTACCGCTAAATTTCTAAGGAATGAGCATTGAAATTGTACGAATTACCTATAAACATATTGCAATTGATCCATAATACATTCATCAGTGAACCTTAAACTAAAGAAAGTGATCCATAGAAAATCAAGTTTGCGCACTTAAAAATATAGCCATGTTTGTATTAATGAAAGCAACTTCCTCAGAGCAGTCTCGTTTTAGACAGCTTGAAGCTGAAATAGGTTTTATTAAACTAATATAAAATCAAAACCAATATTAATGCTTATAATAAAACCTTTTTCAGCTTCAAGCTGTCCAAAACGAGACTGCTCTGAGGAAGTTGCTTTCATTAATCCGAACATTCTTGAAGAACAACATCGGATATAACCTCAAAATGTCAGAGGGATCAACACCACCGTTGAGTGAAGAACAGAACAGCGATAGAAACTGTACGCTTTGTGAAGGCCACGACCACGTAGATGATATGGTCCAGTGTGATGTCTGCGATTTCTGGACCCATTATAGTTGTGCTGGTAAGACCACAGCTGTAAAGGAGTTTCCGTAGACGTGCTCTAAGTGCACAAATATGCTGAAGGTGGCAAAAGGAACCAAGAAGTCTGTCCCAAAGAAACCACCTAGCAGAAATAATAGAGCGAGGAGTGATGCCGCAACCGAATCTGGAAAAGGAAGTACCAATGAGGTCAGCCTGGAAGAATCCCTAGACCAGTTGCTGCAGGAGAAAAGCGCAAATAAGAAAGCGCTGGAGGAAGAGAAATTCCTCCATGAAAAGCGATAGAAGGTTGAGCGGGAGATTTTCAAACCGAGAGTTATCTTCCGTCACTCTTTAAACAAAGATTTGGCTAGATTTAGCATTTAGGGATTCAATTATTATTTTAGTTAAGCACGCAAACGATGTAGAATGAGCTACTTACTAGTTACTTAGGGTAAATCATGTATATAGCGTTTAGGAGCAAATTGTAGGTTACCAGATTTTAGGATCAAATTGTAGTATCTAGATTAAGCAAATATAGGGTTATTAAATTCAATATTTGCACGAATTCCACCTCCAACTAACCTACTTCAGTAGCTACATAGAGGTTGCTTTAAGACCAGAAGGTCCCGAAGAAATGTGCTCAACTTTTTGTCTAAGCTCTGGTACTATCTTCGGTCCCAAGCTTATCGATGCACCCCTATAAAACACGCGAAAATCCACGAACCCCTCATTTTATCTGTCAAACTTTCATAGCGAATCAAAACAAACATAGTGTAGTACTAGAATTTTGACTATAATGGGGTACGTTAATCGATTTGCTTGGGACCAATAGGCAAGTCAAGTAGTGAGCCAATTTAAAATCGTTAGTTTCGTATTGATTGTTGGTAGCTAGTTCACTACAAATAACTACAATTTAATTAAACGATATGTATATTAACAAATTTAGGCAATTAAAATAATTTAGCTGTAAAACGTTTTTTAGATGGTTTGGAATTGTATCTTCTTTTCTTCTTTTTTTTCTCGTTCATACTCCGACCTATCTAAGGTTTGGTTCAACGGAACTGTGACCGTGAACACAGTTCCGTTGAACCAAACCTGACGTCTGTCATTTCTGACAGCGACCGTTACCGTAGCTCTCTGAATCTCCCACAGGGTTGTCACTGGGTTTGGCGGTACAGGGTATTCACGTTTTGGACACTGTATTATTAATTTTGATTCATGAACTATGGAAAATTGCTCCATTACTGCTTAACTACTTAGATTTACTGTCCTGCCGTGTTTTTAGGTAGATGTGCGAGCGATGGTCAAGCGTCTAGAATTAGCTTCCAAAAGAAGCTTCTATAATAATCTTCTTAAGAAAAAATGAACAATAAATGTTAATTTTATGGATCATACCTAGGGTAGGTGTTCCAGTTGTTGGTAGACGTGCTTATTTTGGTATGTTCCAATTATAGTCTATATCGAGGGGGGCGACACATCCAAATCTCAACTCTAAATGCTCAACAGATCTACCACTAGCGAATCAATCTTCGAAAAATATTCTTTCATTTCTCGCATCTACTTGCATCGGGCCTCATCTTTTAACAGGAAATCTTCAGAATCGTCATCAATCTTCTTTCTATCTACTTAGCGTGTGCGCAGCTAGCCGAAACAAAACACAATTTTTTCTGCATCGTAGCTAGAGTCGCCCCCCTCGGTCTATATACATATGTTTTTTTAATTTGATCAATAAACCTTGGAAAATTGCTACATTACTGCGTAGCTACTCAGGTTTACTGTTCTGCCCGTGTTTTTTTTTGTCAGAAGAGCAGAACGATGAGTGAGCGTCTAGAATAAGCTTCTTAAAAAGTTTCTAAATGAAGCTTCCATAGGAAGATTCTTAAAAATATTACTATAGATTCTTCTTTTTGGATGCTAATTCTAGACGCTTGCCCGTCGCTTCGCATATCTATCTTAAATACACGGGCAGGACAGTAAATATAAGTAGATAAGCAGTGGAGCAATTTTTCAAGGTTTATGGATCAAAATTTAAAAAATAGTGTCCTTAACATGAATAATATACGTCTAATTTATGGATCATGCCTATGTTTTTAAGTGTGCAAACTTGATTTTTTATGGATCACTTTCTTTAGTTTAAGGTTTATTGCTGAATGTTTTATGGATCAATTGCAATATGTTTATGGGTAATTCGTACAATTCCAATGCTCATTATTTAGAAATTTAGTGGTACATTTTTACAATTGTGTTGCTAAATTTCACATAAAATATTGATAATATTGATATTTTTATGGATCATCCACACTTTTTTAGGGATTTTCTCCGATGTTTTATGGATCATTTGGATGTTTTTAATGGAACGTTTTTCAATTTGTTATGGATCGTTTTATCAATTCTAAAGGTGCAAACTTAGGGCTGCCCTTTGCTTCCGGCCCATCAACACATGGGTTAGAATTGTAGGATCTAGGTGGAGTCGCCTCGCTGGCGTCGGTGGTTGGCGTTTACGTTGCAGAACAGATACGAACAGAAATAAACTATCAAAATAGTGCCAGGTTGTTAAATAGAAGGGGCAATATATCCACAATTTTTCTTTTCGTCTTGAATTCTAAATTTTGGCATAACGATCCTTAAGATTCGTTCAACCCCTACTTCCCCTTGCAACAAGTTTAGACTTTATCTGAACTAGCTCATCAATTTCAATGCAAATCTTCACAGCTTAGTTTTCAGAGTTTTCCTAAAATTCTCTTTGTCATTTTCTATAAAATTCTACCCACAACTAATATTACATACTGCCATTGCCAAGTAATCATACGTATTAATAATAAACTATGTATCAACTTCAATTCAGCATGCGTAATACCCGGGCCTCCCTTAGCTCAGTCGGTAAAGGCGCAGCTGTAAATCAAGATCATTCTGGAGGCGGCTAGGTTCGATTTCCGGTCTGGTTTCAACTTTCCAATTGCATAGAGTATGATTGTCTTACCACACAATTATACTAATGCAAAAATCGTACTGGCTTAGAAAGCTCTCAATTAATAACTGAGAATGTGCTCAAAAAACATTAACAAAGTAGAGGGACGGCGCAAAGTCCATGTAGGGACGTAATAAATCTAAAAAAAAAAAGAACACCCGGAAACCACAGATCAGTAATGATCTGATTTATAAGCAATTCGACAGCATGGCAGATGTCACCTAAAGGGTGATACGGTCAAAATTTGGTCAATATCAACTTGACGTATTTCTTTCAATTTTGCATTTAAAAAACCTGAACACCCCTCATTTTGAAGGTGTGTGTGTGTAGAATGTTGCTCCTATTTTGATTTTGGAATTCACTCTTCAGTTGTCAAAATGCCGTCCAAACAAGAAGAGCAGCGTATCAAAATTTTGCTCGCGCATCGCGAAAATCCGAGCTACTCGCACGCAAAGTTGGCAAAATCGCTAAAAGTTGCCAAATCAACCGTTACAAATGTAATTAAAGTGTTTGGGGAACGTTTGTCGACAGCCAGGAAGTCTGGATCGGGGGGAAATCGAAAACCGGAAGCCGCTGAGACGACAAAGAGAGTTGCCGGTAGTTTCAAGCGAAACCCTAACCTCTCTCTCCGAGATGCCGCAAATAAGCTGGGTGTATCGTCTACAACCGTGCATCGAGCCAAAAAACGAGCCGGACTATCGACTTACAAGAAGGTAGTGTCTCCAAATCACGATGATAAACAAAATACGACGGCCAAAGCGCGATCCCGGAGGCTGTACACGACGATGCTGACGAAGTTTGACTGCGTGGTAATGGACGACGAAACCTACGTCAAAGCCGACTACAAGCAGCTTCCGGGACAGGAGTTTTATACGGCAAAAGGAAGGGGAAAGGTAGCAGATGTTTTCAAGCACATGAAACTGTCAAAGTTCGCAAAGAAATATCTGGTTTGGCAAGCCATCTGTACCTGTGGCTTGAAAAGCAGCATTTTCATAGCTTCCGGGACTGTCAACCAAGAAATTTACGTGAAAGAGTGTTTGAATAAACGTCTGCTGCCTTTCCTGAAGAAACACGGTTGTTCCGTACTGTTTTGGCCGGATTTGGCATCTTGCCATTACGGTAAAAAGGCCATGGAGTGGTACGCCGCCAACAACGTGCAGGTGGTTCCCAAGGACAAGAACCCTCCCAACACGCCAGAGCTCCGCCCAATTGAGAAATACTGGGCTATTGTCAAGCGGAACCTAAAGAAGACCAAAAAAACTGCTAAGGGCGAGCAGCAGTTCAAGGCAAACTGGCTTTCTGCGGCGAAGAAGGTGGACAAGGTGGCTGTACAAAATCTGATGGCAGGGGTCAAGCGTAAGGCCCGGCAATTCGGATTTGGAAAAGCGGAAGCCTAACTGAATATTTTTCCTGAATTTTATACTAATTGAACTTGAAAAAGAAATTTAATTTGATTTTTTAAATAAACGATTTCACCGATTTACACGCGTTTTCCCTTGACCAAATTTTGACCGTATCACCATTTAGCATTAGGCTTATAAAAACTGTCAGGAGGTTTTTCTGGCCCTATAATTACATATACTATAAGTTCTTAAGACATAGAAGTCAGAGAACTTTTGTTGCTTGCAAGCTATTTGTTATGCCGTGCTCTGTCATTTCAAACCGGGTGATTTTTTTTATCTGTGTGATTATTGTGAAAAAAGCAGAGGCAAGGAGGAAAACACCAGGAAAAGATCTACACTTCTTCCCCGGAAGAAGTGAATTCCGTGGCGTCTGGGTGGATGAGTGTATTAAGCCTGTAAATAGTAGAGTTGACTGTATCATAAATAACTTCTATATCAATAATGACATGTCGAAGAAAAACTATTTAATTTAATTTTGATGGATCTTGTTTTACCTACTTCACAGGCAGGCATGGAAAATCATTTGCATTCATTTCATACATTCATTTACATTCATTTGCCTCTAACTTTTTTCATTAACAGCATTCTGCAAAATGATGTACAGAGCTTTTGTAGGTTTTGTTATGAGCTACAACTTTTGCTAAAAAGTCGAATCCGTATCTCTTATGCATCACGAACTAGAGCGGGCAGAACTTGTTACTGTTTTTCAGTGAATGTAAAATACATTCACTGAAAAACAGTAGTGGCTTCTGTTCGCTCTGCTTCGTCATGTATAAGAGATACGGATTTGACTTTTTAACAAAAGTTGTAACTGATAACAAAACCTACTAAAGCTCTGCACATCATTTTGCGGAATGCTGTTGAAGAAAAAAGTTAGAGGCAAATAAATGTAAATGAATGTATGAAATGAATGCAAATGACTTTCCATGCCTGTTCACAGGTAAAACGTTGTAAAATTATTCATAACCATTTTAGAAAAATCACGAAGGGTTGATGAACCAATCATGACTATTTGTTCCTATTATGGTGTGTTCCAATTTTCAATTTTACCCTCATTATACTTTAGTCAGTGTTGTTAATCCTCCAGTACCCATTGCCACGTAGAGGTGATAGGGTCAAAATATACATCGGCATAATCGCCAATTTTCGTCATATCGAGCATAAAACATCAAATATATCATTGATTTCAGCTTCGACGATTCAATAATACGTTTGGATCGATACTTTAGTTCAAAAGCTACATAACAAAGCCTTCAAGAGTGATGTATACATACATGATGTAGCAAAAATGGAATGAAACAGTTAATTCGCTGGGAGTTCTTCTTTCGTTGACTATTTATACCCTTTCATATAACTATTAACATAGTCTGTTTTCGTCAACGAAAGAAGAACTCCCAGCAAATTAACTTTTTCATTCCATTTTTGCTTTCATCCGTATGACGAAGCAAATTCAATGACATTCCTATGTGTTTGGTAGAAATTGAAACCCGTACCTCGAATTTGAAAATAAGAAGCAGTTTTTGTATATTTTGTTAAAAATACAACACAGCTTCTTATTTTTAAATTTAGAGTATGGGTTTTAATTTCGTACAAACACATAGGAATGTCATTGAATTTGCTTCGTGGAAAGGTTAGTAAATTTAAAGTTATCTGTAGTAGAGACATTCCATTTTGAGTAGAAATCCGCTTTAAAAGAGAGGTAAAGTGCGGGTTGTACTTGGTAAGCCGAAAATTATATCTAATCCTTACATGTTTTGTTTTGGCTTTTACAATTCAATTCTTTTACGATTTTGATGAAACTGGTTGAAAATGGAGACTGTATTTATATATATTGTTTTATTTATTTTTGGGCTACAAAATGGAAGGAGCGTGAAACCTATATCCGGTTCTCACAAGTTCATTCCTCACGCCTCCTTGAGTCATATTATTACAAAATACTACTAGCTGAAACATGGACATAGCTGGGTGGCGTAGCCTGGGCAATTTGGTCAATCTTTCGCTATCGAAGTGAGGAGGTGCGATGCTAACACTGGCGCGGTTACCATAGTCGGTGATAGAGGAAATACTTCATTAAACCCGAGTGTCTGTTCACCATGCGCACCTCTACGCTCAAAACGGCAACTGTTCACCATGTTAAGAACGGCTGACTCAAAACAGAGCTGTCCATGATGGTCTTTGGGTGATACCCCGAGCAAAGCTGAAGATCAAATTGAAATCAAAATTTGCTGTTATGATGTAACTTATTTTGAATACTCCAGTTGATCTCATTTTGGTTGACTTAACGGTTAACACAGCAGAAATGAGAGCAAAATTTTACACTGTTGAAGCAAATGGAAAACTAATCCTGCTGTCAATGAAATCAATTTGATTACTGATTTTGCATTCATAATGTTTTACTGAATACGGGCCTAGAGTAAATGGTTACCATTAATGTTTCTCAAGCTGAAAGACTTAGGCTCCAATCTCACCGCGGGCAAGTCACGAATGACCTAAAATGTGTTAAACAAATCAAATAAACGATAATCAGTAGTTCAACGACAGATGAATTTCAATTAAATTTTAAACAAGACGTAAACAGCAGAACTTCTAGTTAAGTTGCTTTCATTTAAAACGTCTTGACTGCATAATGAAAGCACAATATGATATCAGACTTATGTCGCAACATTTGAAATCAAAATGAGTTTTCATTATGATAGGAACTGCACACTTTAATATCGATTTGCTTTCATTTTGTTAACCGACTTTGCTCGGGACAGGGGACTAACCACTCTGAAGAAATGGTAAATTTGCCAATAACGAGGAAATAAATTTGGATCAGAAAAATCGGCACAGACCTACGCGACGAAAAAGGACGAAGTTAGAGTCGATCTTAGAATTTCGCAACAAATGATAATTTTGTTCCTTATTCAAAAATATTAGACCCGTATTTTTTGATTCACCATTAGGGTAGCTCCTTCCATGTTAGGGTGTTCCAAAAAATCAACATTCATGCAAATTTTGACTTTTTTACACAACATATAAAAAATTCAGTGGTGCATGTTTTTTCGTTTCTGGGCTACATTTTTTTTAAATATTAAGTTTCCAGATTTTGCTCATAACCTTCCATAAGCCACAGATAACAGACATCCAACTTTAGTCAGAAATTTGTGTACACTTTTATAAAGATAAGTGGTAACATTGCCGATACGTGGCGCTGGCATCTCCTGATTTCTAAAACATTGCCACTAATAACCAATTTTGCGTTAGTGTTGATCAATTTTCTCTTGAAATTGCACTAACGGTACTTAGTGTTTAGTTTAATTTGAGCAACGCCAGCGCCTTCATGTTGTCCAAAAGGGTTTCTAGTTCTTGTTTATTTTTACAGAAATTTAGTTTGAGTTTGTTTTCTGTGAATAAGCCTCCATTATTTAAAACTTAATATTTTGGAAAAAATTTAGCTCAGAAACCATTGGATCGATTTTTTTTTTATCAAAAGATCAAATAAAAGATTATTGAAAATTAAAAATTAAAAATATGAATATAGTCCAATTTTATTCATCATTATGAATTTTAGCCTAGAATGAATGAGGAATAAACAAAATGCAACGTTGAAACATGTTCATCGAACATGCCATTTAAAAAAGCATGTTAACAAAGGTTGGGCAGGCGTGATCTGTAAGGATGCTCCAGATTCCACCATTTTAGCGCATTTATGGTTCTTTCGATTTTTTTTTTAAATATTGATCTGAGAATATTCTTGACAACTTATGTAGGATGTTCTTACCTCAAGGTGGATTCGGTTGTAATGATTTGTTTCCATTTTGCCTTGTCTTCGTAGCTCAGCTGACTGGCTAGTGGCACAGGAGCACGGTTGTTTTGAAGCGTAGCGGTAGTTACAGATATGTCTGGTATTTCAACGTCTTGCAGCACTCGTATGAGAACATCCCAATTGGAAACCGATTTATCCTCCGGTGGCAGCTCAATTGGCTTCATATTTCCAACTAATTCTGGACTCTGGAGCATGGTATCATTTTCGAAAATATATGTAGAAGTTGGAACGGCCATTTGAGTAGACACAGAATGTGGAATAGTCATGCCAGATGCACTAGAAACATCCGAAAAATCTTCCCATTCTGGTTGTGGATTCTCCTGATAATTTCTAATAGTTACATCCCAATTAGGATTGATGACCGGCTTTGCTTTGTACTCTGTAACCAGGCGTTTGTGCCTTTCAATGTCCTCGATCGTCGTTTTTTCGGTAACGGTTTGCATAAACACGTCATCTATAACATGAGATGATATTTCATTTTTTTTAACGCTAACGGGTGGTTTTAAGTGATTTTCGGAGAATTTAAGGTTGACGATATTGTGATAATTAGCTGGGTACAAGTGCGAGGAGTCAACAATTTCAGTCATTGAGTGTGTATCTGTCACTTCAGTGCCTAATGATACAATACTTCGAGGGGAAGTCGCTTGAAAACCATCCACGTAATTCTCTGGCCAAGTATCACGTTGAATCTGTGAATGTGTGTTAAAAGAAAAATAATATATGCCAATTTCGCTTAAATGTTAATATATTAATAATTAAAGGTATTACATATTGTTGCTGAGTTTTTGCAATTTTGGAAATGACTGGTGCCTGCTGGATGTGTTTAGGAACTGTGTGCAGCTCAGGAGTGTAGGTGAACTGAGTGAGTCCTGCCTCTTGCAGTGATTCAAATGTTAGTACGCTGTCACTTCTTGCATCCTCATGGGACTCCAGAATTGTAGAAAGATTGTTCCGCTCAATTTGGCTGATGGTTGTATTACTTTCAGTGTCAGATGTTATTGGTGACGGTAATGGAGGCGGAGTACGCTTGATCCGCACATGGATATCAAACTTTGGGGAAGTTTCGCAGATCGCAGCAGTACGTACTTCCTGAGTTTGGCCGTAGTTCTCGCTATAGATACTGGAGGAATCTTGAGCAAAAGCAGCATTTTCGAAGCTACCATGTGAACTGACGGGCAGTGAACCGGTATCTACCTCTTCATTTTCTGAATGAGATTCACTTGGGTAGTCAGATGGAATAAGTGGACCATCACTACCGGATATACTTCGAGTTTGGTGCAAAATGGTATGTGCTGGTGGTATCTTAAATCCTGAGCCTAGACAACAAAATAAGGAAAATTGTTAAACAGTGCATTTTGAGTTTCTTAGTACATGATAAATTGGATGAATGTTCAAGTACTTGGCCAGAGCATTCTTTTTTATGATAAAGCAAATAATACCTATACTGCCAGTTTCTAAAGCAGTTATTTCAGAACCGCTTCCAACATGGACAACTCTCCTAACAATAGGCATTGGTTGCCTTCGAAGACAGTAGTACGATACCCCCAGACCTATGAGCAATAATGTCAGGAACATGATGGCGCAAATGATAAATAATATTTGAATTCCCTTCAATGGTGGCTCCAAAATTGATGCCGGTATTATATTAGTCAGTCTGAAAATATTTGTGATAATATAGGTATTTGCTACTCTGCATATAATTCCTATTTTCTTACATAGGGGCAGGTAAACCAGCAGGGATGGGTGCTACTGGAGGAGGATAACGGCATACAATTGTAATAATTTCATCACCATCCATTTCAAGGCCGGGATGGAAGCGTACTACAACATTGTTGGTGAACACACGTTGAGGTTCCTGTAGAACAAGAAGGTTAACTTTCATATTTATGACGGCGTTCAACGGATTAATAACCTGTTTTGTTCCACATCCTTTCAAGGGCAGTTCGATGGTATAGCTTGTTTCGCCTTTACCAGTGATTTGGCAAGCACTGTTCCTGTCGTAATTTGCGTAGGCAGTGCCGAAGAACTTCTCGTTGAACTTGAGCTCCACTTGCATGGAGCCTGCAGCACAGTTCAATGCGGCTTTTGTGCGGTTCAAAAATATGATAGGGCTGAGATCATCGAGTTTTGTCACCTATATTAAAAATAAAACATGTTAATTCAGGTAGCACGTCCACGTGCCTTTTTAGAGCAATGGATACATGGGAAGAGTAAATTTCCCTCGTTTGTTCACATCTTCTGAACGAAATTAGAAATCCAGTAGGGAACGTGGATACACATCGGGTGATGCATATATTATGTCACGCTCAATGGGGGGAGGAGGGGTTGGATTTTGTGACAAGCAATGCATTATACCGAAAAACGTGACGAAAGGCGAGAGGGGGTAATTTTTTCTCAATTTAGCGTGACATTATTTAAGTATAGCCCCCATGCTTTATAGAAGGTGATTCTGCATACTGATGCCATATGTTTCTGATACATACCTTTCCATCAAGCGTTGCTTCCTCAGGCAGACCATCTCCTTGATATTCGATACTATTGGCGAGCGATGCATAATTGGACTGGGCAGTGATCTCATTTGTAACTAGGATTATGATCAATAAACCTAGCTTAAACTGGCTTAATGTGTTTGAAATCATCTGAAATTAATATATGTAATATAGTCAATTAGAACACGTCAACAAGAACTGTGTGGAATTTGGCATTAACAGAACTATAAACATATTATTATGCTTGAGCAATTTTTTGAGCTAATTTTAAATAAAAAAAACTTATGAATTTTTAAGCCACGGTACACAAACTACACACTCTAAAAAAACCCGGATTTTAAACCTCCTCTCCTCTATGTAATAATATGTAACGCTTGACAAGACTCCCCGTAAAATTACGTATCACTAATTCACTCGCTCCCATTTAAAAAAAAAAGTAATAAATCTCAATTAACATTTTGAATTTTTAAAGATACCTGCAGTATATAGTACACAGTTCGAAAAAGTAGTGTAAATTTCTGTTCAATATGATGCACATAAATGGAGCGTCACATATTATATAAGTTTGCATTATAAATCATGTAAAGTTCTGAGACATTTCTTGCGATGTAGCAAATATTGTATTCAAAAGCCCATCTATGTAAACAACATTGTTTACAAGTTGCTTGGTTGCATGAAATTAAATACAAGTTTACGTGAATGAATGTTTACATCACAATTAAAATTCAGAATTTTTATCTGTGTAACATTTGCCAGTATCCCCTCACTCCTTTGTAACAATAAGTATCGCAAGTATCGTAAGATAGAAAACACGCAAAATTCGATATGCTTATTCTGAACTTTTTTTTGTCTTATTCAATTTGAATACATAACAAGTTTTTCATTATTAAATTTATAACACAAGTTTCTAGGATAGAAAAATATTACCATATTTTATGGCGTCTCTTGAGTTTAAGTCTAATGCTCCAACAAGCCACGTTTTCTAAACTCCTTCCTCTTCTTGAATTGGTATATTTTTTCACTATTTCGTCATACCACCAAATTTGTTGAGGAAAAATTATTTGAGGAAATCAAGTCTACGACAATTTTTTTGGACATACGATAAACTTCTCGGGAAAATGTATGGGAAATGAAAAAAAAAGTTTGCTTGTCAAAATAAAGGCTTATTTAATACGGTTGTAAGTATGCGCGGATCATTTGGCCTATCGTTAATATTTTTTGCACAGAAGTCGAATTTTCAGTCTGCCACAAAGTTGTTCTGCATAGTTATCCCAATCATAGTCTCAGGTAAATATACACCGTTTGAAGAATTCATGTAAATTTCTGCGAGATATCGCGCACATTAAATTAACGCTAGATTTGGCATAAATTTACGCGATATTTCATGTAAATTTAAGCGCAATATCGCATAAATTAGCAATATTGTATGCAAGCTTGCAAACGATTTCGCTGTTTATGCTAAGTATAGCTCAAAATTAAACGAAGGGAGATTTTACGCGATAGTTAAAATTCAGATTTTTTTCTGTGTAGGAAAAGTTGAGCAAAGTGTGCATTTTGACAAGCAAGTGAACAGTTTCACTCCGTTTTCCAACTTTTCTAATACAAACTTTAAAGTTCTCCCGAAAATCGAGTTCGCTACCAAATTCGTTCAAATATCGCACAGTTATTGGGGACCTCAATACATATCGAAGGAACAGTGGGGAGCAGGGGGCTGTAAAGTTGACCATCCTAATTGCCAGGCTTGCTTCTACTCACTTCGCTATAAAACATGATTTTTGAAATATGGAATCATTACGCTATAATGCTATTTTGTACTTGTAAACTAAAAGACTAGGTTTTGAAAAGTATGTATTTGACGCATAAAACCTGTCAATTATGCATTAAGGGAGTCACAATCAGTGAATTTATGAATCGTGAGCGTTCACTCAGAGTGAGCGCTCACGAATAATAAATTCGCAGATTGTGACCCTCTGAAAGCAAAATTGACAGTTTTTATGTGTCAAATACATACTTTACAATCTCTTCTGGTAACTACAAGAATGTTTACATCTAATGATTTCATAATTCCGAAAAAAAAACAATTTTTTATATCAAGTGAGTGGAAGCAACCCTGGCCTAACGTTACGATAACAGAATCACCTGGGATCAAACCATCCATAATCCATGGATTTTATCAGCAGTACATCAGGCACATTATTAACATGAGCATGATTTACCACCCACGGTTGCTATACCTGCAATTATATATAAAACCAACAGATGATGCTTGGGACTAGCTATCATCTTCAATGTGTAAAAATTTTTGATCTCATACTATATATTAGGCAATTCTAAATGCAGGCCGGTTGTTTTCAAATGATGGCCACACCAGTGCAAGTCAATGCCGACCGGATGACGGTGGCCTAGTCATGCTTCCTATTACGGGAAGCCTTTCCTCGTGTGAGTGCTTTCGTCGTCGTCGTTGCTCGAAAGCAAATGACGAAGAAAACGATTTGGTAAGCGTTTTTATTATCACTGCTTTTCTCCTCCCTTAATTTCATTGGTCGATAAACCAAGCATTGAACTCGCTCATGTGAGCATGCACAATGTGTCGTTTGTTCGATTTGCGCTCTATCGTTGCGTCCGTGTTTGGGATTCTTCGTTACATGGCTGGATTTTGATTTTTTAATGTGATTCCCAGTATAGAAATTAAAAGCATAGTCCTACATCAAAATCAATTTTTAATAGTAAAATCGACTTTAACTGGAAGCAGTGGCTCAACCAGGATTTCTATCAAGGAGAGAGGAGAGATTGACGGACGTAAGAAGTTTCCAGGGCAAGGCGGGAGAAACATAAAAAAAAAGTTTAGATAAACTTGTAGATGAAGTCGGTAGACATTTCTGAGGCATGCCAGCTGAACGTCTTTGGAACTCGGAAGGTGCTTTCAAGATAAATCGTTAGAATTGGCCTATGTCAGTCAGAAGAAATTTCCAGAAAGTGTAGCAAAACCGGAATCAACTTCCAGGATAAGTTGCAGAAGAGTTGTCGAGGAATGTCTGAAGATTCTAAGCCTAAACCTCCTCCCCCTCGCTGTGCCAGTGACTGGAAGAACATAAGCTTCAACGGCAGCGACGCCGGTTGTGTAGTGGTAAGCGTGATTACCTCTCACCCCCAGCAGGTTCATTCCCAGTTGGCACCGCCGGGATGTTCTGAGGCAAAACATCTCTGATCACGCCTTCCTTCGGAAGGTAAGTAAAGCCGCTGGTCCCCGTTTCATGAGTTGAGGGGTCGATAGGTAGGGTCCAGGTGTGGGAGCTGCTTCCCTGGCCAGCACGGAAAACAAGATCGACGGAAAACAAATCAAGGAAATAAGCTTCAACGGTGTTCCGGTACTATTAATGTAATTTTGTCATGTTTTACAAGGTTATATTATTAATTATTCGCAGTCCAAAATAAAGAAGGGAGAATAAACATTATTAAATCGATTGAAAACAAGATTTGCTGTATTTGAACCGATATTTAGCATGTTACAATTCCTTAAAGTTGTTTTATTTCTTCGTACAGCCAAGCAAGCCTATCCCATTCACTAAAATGTTGAAAGGAACCTAAATCGATAATGACCATATGTCCCCTACTCGAAATCTCTAGATGTGTACTGGATTCATCTAATATTTTGAAGATCAATAGAAAGAACTGTTTTGATTAAATAGTTATTTCATGAACAATGCAAACCTTCAAGAAATATTCAAGAAAATATCATGTTTAACATGTTTGATACATTTATGTTTACGATATGGTCTAAATCTGTTCCGGAAACTCATTTAAATAAATATTATAACATTATGTACCCGCTACGTATTTAACGAAATCTCCCACAATCCATCTTTATTGATTGGATTTATTACATTTTTTTGGTGTGTCAAGTTATGAGCATAGGGAAAGTAGTGTGTCATTATTAGGCACACGACTTACGATATAAAAAAGTATTTTTTCCCTTAGGTCTTCATGTTTTATATTTTCCCCCTATCCTTAAATAACTTAAATAGCGGTACGCAAAATTTCAAAGTAAATTCATGGCGTGTTGATTAAATTGATATTTTCTTAACTGTGTTATTGGATGATCACCAATTCGGTTACTTAACTACTTTGATCTTCACGAAGAGGAATGTTCTTGGCGGACTTAGCCAATAGCCATCAGATAGTTCCGTTAGAGTACGGCAGTATGAAAATTGAATAGAAGTTGAAAATGAGCGAAGGGCCATTAATGCGACAGTTTTTAAAGATAGACGCACATTTTTGCCTAACCCGTACGATGTACGCGGAGACTTGAAGTATGTCTCCAAGTCTACAGGAGACTTGGAGACTTGGAGACATACAATTCTATTCAATTTTCATACTGCCGTACTCTAACGGAACTATCCACCTACCCTCTTCTAAAGATCATTCTCTAGCTAATAAATCATCACACTAAAGCTTCGTGTTAGCATTTCCAACCAACTCTGAAAATCGTTAACTTCGCGTATGAAGTAACATAAAAACACTTTGAATGTATTGAAATTTGTCCAGGGGCAGCTGAGTTATTAACGTTCAAAATCTTTCATAATTTTGTTACATGTTCCATTTTCGCTTTTCACAAAGTGTACCCCCATATAGAAATAGAAAGATGTAGGCCTACGTCAAAAAAGAGAATTAATTTTTAGGTTGTGGGTAAATCAGGAAATCTCGTTGATGTATTGCACACAAAATACTTAGCACTGGAAATTTCGGTACGAAATTACAAAATCATTTTTGCTTGTTCTTGTAATCCTCCTGAAGTCGATTTCACGGACGGTATAGATGACATATTACTGAGCGTTGGTCCTAAATAAGAGCATACACTTTTATGTGGAAACTTCCATATAAATCTTCTTAATAATGGCGCTACCAGAACTTCCAGGTTAATGTCAGTTTTTTCATCTGTCAACCAAAAATGGGAAATCAACCAACATTTTTTCATAGGATTGGATCTTCTCTGTTAGATTTAATGTCCTTTAATGATGAGCCCAAAGTACTAAGATTTCATCAAATAGATGTCCCGGTGTTTTCCAGTCATGAGTTTATCTTTGCTTCGTTTGACTTTGAAATGACGATTGATCCCAAACTACCCGCCCAGGAATTATGGAATAGATTTA